GCAGTGGTATATGAAAAACACACACACAAGGAACCCCACATCATTTAGGGGCATTTTGGCATATATCTCAACTTATGGGGGTATTTCCTCGGCTAGCAGAGTGAAAAAAAAAACTGTGAGAGCGTGGCCTATTGATCCTCAAGCGTTTCAAGCATACTTGCGGCGCATCGAGGTGCGCTGCACCCCGCACGTGTGTCGCACCGCTGTCGGAGCTGATACCCTTACAAGGCTATCCCGTCATGATATTGCAGTCGACACAATGTCAACGCCAACTGTTAGAACGGAAACTGCTAAAAACAGAAACTGGGGCAAGCCCTTCGACCATTATGGTCATAAGAGTGTAATAACCGCAAGGGCCAAGATTTCTAGACAGTCATACGCAATAATACGACGCATACGACAACAGGTAAGGGTTGGTAAAAATTAAAAGTCTCCGACCACAAGGCCCGGAGGGTTGGAAGGAAAATAATAAGAAAGGTCGCGCGGGATGCGTCGACCACGATCTAAATCAGTCAAAGATCAGGCGGTAAGGGAAAAACGAATTAGGTATAGTCCAGAGGCGTCAGACCAACCAGTACGGAAAGAATCTGCTGGTCGCGCCGCCGTAAGTTCGAAAGCGGACTGAAGTAATAATATAAGCCCGACCGCGCGGTTAGCGAATAGAAATCTGTCACCACCACGCCAAGCGGCGACGACCGGTGTTGGGCCTCTAAAAATGCCAACTGTTGTCTTCCTTCGCGCGGCCTCGAGTGTCGCGCACATCTACCTCTACCGGTGTGGTACCGACATACCCGCTACTTGAGTGTCTTCCCTACCGCAACCCTCAATGTCACGGTCAGGGGTCAGTACCAGCCCTTCGGGCTTCCAGTGAATCTAGTGCCCTTCAAGTTACGGGTCATACAAGCACTTTAATTCATAAGCACTTAGACAGGTACACAGACTTGGAAACGGGCTCAGACCACTAGGTGGGGTGAGCCCCGAAACTCGACATAGATTTGGGCCGCTCCACTCCTATTCGAATTGTGAGCTAGCTCAGTTGGTTTCAGGGTGGAGTGCCAAACAGAAGATACAGGGATCAATTCCGCCCTGGCCCGTGAGCTAACTTTTTTGTTGTAAGGGGGTCACTCTTTAACCTCGACCTCGGGCAGCAGAGACTCGAACCCGCGACCTCCAGGTTAGGAATTAGTTGTAGTCAGTAGGTTAGATGAGATGTGAGCCTTTGACGAGCCAAGGTAGTTAGAAGTTAGATCCTGTTTGATTTTTCTTTCCTTTTCTTTTCTTTTCTTTCTTTTTAGATTTTCTGTCTTTTCTTTTCGATTTTTCTTTTTCCTTTTCTTCTTTCAATTCTCGTTCAGTTTACTTTTCGTTTCTTTGAGAACTTACCTCTATTCTCAGTCACATTCATTCCCGAGAAGAAGAAACTCGACACCCCACTGCTGCTACAGAACTTCGAGCGGGGCTACTCGGACTGTATCTGGCTCCATAATAGCACGGAGTTCGTGAGTTGGAGTTGAGCATGCTCGGGCGACTTAGTGAGAGCTAGGCGGAGGTGGAACGTGTGCACTCGAAGGGGAGAAAATGGTTACGCGAATAAGGGGGGCGCAAAAAAAAAAAAAAAAAAAAAAAAAAAAAAAAAAAAAAAAAAAAAAAAAAAAAAAAAAAAAAAAAAAAAAAAAAAAAAAAAAAAAAAAAGGCGGGGACCGGCAGGGAACATGCGGGGGATGTGCGCGCAGAGGTAGAGGAACGCGCGAGGAGGAAATCGTGCGCAAGGGATAGCGACGAAGACCGCGCGAAGGAGGAGCGCTGACAGACAGACGAGAAGAGAGAGAAGAGGAGAAGAAGAAGAAGAAGAAGAAGAAGAAGAAGAAGAAGAAGAAGGAGAAGAAGAGAAAGCAGGAGGTGAAGAGAGGAGGGAAGAGGGATACAATGTGACCTTTGATCCGCTGCTTACCGCGTGCGAGGGCGGAGACTAGCAGGGTATGAAATACACCTGCCGGTGGCATCGTGAAATCGGGTTTGTCATCCGCTGACTTCGTTGAGTGCTCGCTCATGTCTGATGTATCCCCGTGCTGTCATCTCGGTATGCTGCACATCGTGATGGGTCGTGTAGTGGACGAGTGAGAGAAAGAAGGTAAGTCCTCTTCTCGCAACTATCTCTAGCTACTACTATTGATAAGAAAAAAAAAATATATATATATATATATGAATAAATAAATGAATACCACTAAAATACGGAAAGATGCATTGTCATACTCACATTAGTAGAATGAGTAAAATTGACTGTATCTACCGCTAGAATATGGGAATATACACTACTAGGTATGCGTGTGTGTGTGTATATATATATACATATATGTGTCACAGCCCCTCGTTTGTTGTCCTCTTCTCTCTCTCTGCCTACGGTTTACCGGGTAGTTCTGTTTGTGCCGATATATGTGTGTGTGTGTATATATTGTGACGATATATATATATATATATGTATATATGTGTGTGTGTGTGTGTGTGTGAGAGAGAGAGAGAGTACTTCAAGCGATCCATTGAACCGCTTACCGCGCCG